CTTGAGCGAGTTTTTGTCACTCAAGCAACATGTCCTTCGCTCGAGCGAGCAAATCCTCGCTCGAGCGAAATTGAACCCGAGAGTCACCAAAGTTGCAGTTTTCCCACTCAAGCGAGGCATGTGCCGCTTGATAAAAAATTGTCCATATTGTTTCCTCTCTCACTGTTGTTCTCGCTTAAGTGAGCCAAGCCTTGCTTGAGGGAGAGTTACCCTTCAATGTTGTCATGCTTCATTGATAAGTCAACTTTTCTGCTCTTCTAATTTTCTTCCCCTGATTGATTGGTTTCTTTCCAATTTCTATACTTAATCCTATACAACAAGGGTATACACAAATTATTTTAAATTTGGGAGATTCCTAATAAAAATTAAGGCAAAAATGTTGTTAAGTGTTTATAAAAAACTCAGATTTAGTAAATTTTGTCACTTAACATAGTTGTTTCCTTTATTATGTAATTGAAAGCATTTTAATGAACCATAATTAACATGACCTAACATACACAACCATTAAAACTTAAATGGTTAGTCTTTCACAAAACATTGGGAATTTAGTAAGGAATTTGGTTACTATTATGTCATATTTTTTTATTTGTAAAATACCTATTATTAACAATTAAAATATTTTCAAAAATGATTACTTTCTTACCAACTAAGTTCATGATATTCCTTTTAATACCAAGTAGGTAACCATATATGGTTAGATTGAATAAACGTTGCAGATAAACAAAATAAGACGTCATTTACAATTAACCATATATGTTGGATTGAATAAACTTAGCATATGAATAAAAGAAAATGTCTTGTTCAATTAACCCGATAAACTTGAGGTGGTAACCACAGATAGTAAACTTAGCAGATAAATAAGACAAAATGTCATTGAAAGTTAACCATATAATGTCAAGGAGGTAATCATATATGGTTGGATTGAATAAACGTTGCAAATAAACAAAACAAGATGTCATTTACAGTTAACCATATATGTTGGATTGAATAAACTTAGCATATGAATAAAAGAAAATGCCTTGTTCAGTTAACCAAATAAACTTGAGGTGGTAACCACATATGGTAAACTCAGCAGATAAATGAGACAAAATGTCATTGACAGTTAACCATATAATATCAAGGAGGTAACCATATATGGTTAGATTAAATAAACGTTGCAGATAAACAAAACAAGATGTCATTTGTAGCTAACCATATAATGTCAAGGAGGTAACCATATATAGTTGGATTGAATAAATGTAACATATAAACAAAATAAAACATAGAATCTGAATAAAACAAAACACCCTATCTAATTAACCAAATAAAGTTGAGGGGGTAACCATTTATAATAGGCAGGTCTCGCTCAAACGATGAATAAGCAACTATTATTCGCTCTAGCGAGGACAACAACGAAAACAAGAACTTCTGTCAATCCTATTTTTGCTCAAGCGAACTATTGTCGCTCGAGCGAATATCACAACCAAAAGAAGAACTCCTCTTGGGTCGCATTTTTCTCAAGTGAATAAGTGTCACTTAAGCGAGATTTGTTGATATCTTTTAGTCCATGTTGAAGTCAACTTGAACTACATCAGAATTGAAGTCAATTTAAACTACATCACATGTTCATACAGTCCTAAGTTTTTCATGCAAAAATATAACTTAAGTGTGCACTTTTAAAAAATGGTTTCTTGTTATAATGTAATTTGTACAATTTGCTTATTACACATGTTTAAATTCTTTTAGGAGTTGCAAATTGACATTATTTGTGATTGATTAGTTGTTTGATAAGTCCCTAATGATACGACATGTATTTATACTACAATTACGTAGTACGGTTCTTGGTAAAGAAATATCATAACACCATATAAAATGAAAGAGGTAATCATATACGGTAGGTATGGAAAACATAACCAAGTTATTCTTTCACATGTCTTGTAGTAGACACAATATACAACCCATGATTGTTACTTAAAAGTATGAAGCATAATGTGCTAATAAACTAATTAGAGAAAAAAAAAACCAAAACCACAATGATAGTTAACCATGTAAACTGAACGGTGTAACCATATTTGCTAGGTTCGATTAACAAGACTGAGTTGATTATTTTACATCTTTTAATAATTTGTAATATGTGTCATAATCATAATATTGTTATATTTACATCCACAACTCCAAAAAAATTTACAAGGTGTGCTCTATGCTAGTATTGCACCTTTCTATAGTATCATATATACTTCTGTTGAACATGTACTACCAAAATAATGACAAAAGTTGCTTTCATGGTGATGTTATCCAGCCAATAAAATATTGAATCAAAAGAAGCACTCCTCAACCAATATTGTTATATTGTTTAATGAGTGCAGTTGAAATGTAATTTGTAATTGAACTGTTATTGATTAGTAAATACATAACATATACTGTATAAATAGTATATAAGTCCCACATTGAAATTCATTGCAATTGCACAATGACACCTAAAATAAAAGCAAATTGGATTGAAAAAGTACTATAAAATTAAATAAATTTTATGTTTTACACAAACCAATTCAGATGATCGATAATCAACATGAGTTTCAATATGAATGCTTGAATTCAATAAGTTGGATGAAGTTCCTTCAGTGTTCCCCTATAGTGATAAAAAAACATGTTAATTAGCTATTCAATTATTGTTATCCAAAAAAACATGTCATATGTAGTGTAATGCAAATATGTAGTGTGAATATTCCACTTACAGTATTTGTGGGTATACTATGTTCTGTTTTAATTTTTGACCTTCGTGTTGCAAGTTTTTCACTTGTTGACACTTTTCGAAGTGAACATGGTCTTCTTTTTCTTTTAAAATACAATGGGCTACGAATCTCAATGCCAACATTGTTAACATTTGACCTCTGTGAATATTTTGGTGTATTGCTTTTGTCAACATTAATCTCTATTTCAGTTTCTGAAAGTGGAAATGTATATGTTTAACCAAATTTATTCATCATTTGGTGCAACATTTCTGTCTTCTGCATTGACTTAAAATTCCTTCACTACCTCAGGATCGAATTTGGACCATGGTTCTGCGAGCTGTCTCCAATTCCTTTAAGTAATCTCATCATTGAATTCAGTGTATTTGTTTTCTTTGAGTTCCACTCGTCATTCAGAATTGAAGTTTCAAGCTTGCATCATCTCATACATCTGTTAGGTATGCTAATCTCTAGAGAGGTTCCTGATAAATGGTGCAGATGATTGACCCGTTTTAGGTCTTTAGGTCTTTTCCTAGTTGCTCTGAAAAAGATAGCCTCTTGTTTGTCCTTTCTTGGTCTCATCTACAAAACAAGCAAATTGAAGTGTGCACATAATATGCCAATAATAGAACATATTCAAGGAATATGCTATGGCCAAAATCGTAGGACAAATAGTTCTGCCCTCATTTGCAAAAAATAACTAATTCTAAACCTAAAGTTAAAATTTAGAGAACAAAGTGTCTATTTTGTGTAAGAGAATTAAACCTTTTGTATTGTGTCATTTCATCAAACACTGAGTGGACATAATTTAATATTGTATCCTAAGTCAAGTAACAACACTTTCAAAACAAAGCATGTATATATTGAACAAAGAAAGAAGCAAGGATTCATCAAAACAAGGAATGAAAATATTGGAGTAATATAAACATAGAACAATTTCACATGAACAATATAATATAGAGGTTTAGTACCAATAACAGGATAATCATCCAACACACAATTCATACAACATCAAACATTATTCTACCATGTTTAGCAATCACACAACACTAGACATTACAAAATCTAAACCTATATAGCAGAGTGGGACAAAGAACTGTACCAAATATTCAAAGAGGCTGCAAAACCAAAATGGTGCCAGAGACGATCACGGTGCCAGAAAAAGCTCAAACTTTGTTGCATTCGCTTGGAGACTCTGCTGAGAAAGGCTTCAAGGGGTTCACAAACACGACAGGGACGAAGAGTGAAAAGTTTCAGAAGAACGGGACACTATAAAGACGAGCACGATCGAGAGTTGCTTTGATTTTCAACCTGAAAAGGGTGTGGAGATTCATAGAACCAACCCTTGTCTATCTCTAAATTACAACTTTCACTCTTCAAAATTATAAATAAAACCATAAATTTTAATAAAATTTTATTTTGATCCCAAGGTGTCATTTGGATTTTAAACATGAATGTCAAAAAATCATTTTCAATCTTAAAAAATATTCCACATTTTGACATGTTCAAAATTATAAATAAAATATTTAATTAACAAAAAACTAAAAATATTTTAAAATAATAAAAATATAAAAGTAAGATAAGATACATAATAAAAAGAAAACACATCTTAAAATAATAAAAAAAAGCTTTTAAAAATATATTTAAGAGTGATGATACAAAATTTATAATATAATAATAAAAAAAAGTAAGTAATGTAATTGCAAACGAATCTAATCACATACATACAGAATGTAACAAGTTATTTATTTTGAAAATAAAGTTATATATTAACAATATAAAATAAATAAATATTATTATAAAATAAAATTTACTATTTATAATTTTTTTATTTGTATTTGTTATTGATAACCAATAGTGTATATAGTAATTAAATTGTTGATTCATTTATTTAAACAAAAATGGGATATTCACACCCACACATTTAAACATGTCAAGAGCAAGAGTTGGAAAGGGTAGAAAATGAAAGAAGATATAAGTAACAAGGGCAAATGTGGCAAGAGAAACTAAACATGACGAAAACAAAAACACCTTAAACCTCTCTTCTCTACTTTCCCAACACCCTAAACACTTGCAACTCTTTGTTTCTTCGTTCTCTTCCTATTCTCTCTCCGTCTTCTCCGTAGGCATAAACTAAGAAAGAAGATAAAAACAATAAACGAAGAAAGAAGATATAGGCAATTCGTAGTTATATTTATAAATAGAACAAAATATTCATTCATTTCTTCGTTGTTTCTTTCGATCTTCGTTTCTCATATTTTCAACTGTGGCTTTTCTGAGGTCAGTTCGACAATGGCTTCGCGAGCGATTCTGAGAAGGAGGAGAAGTTTCATCGATCAATACGTGAATAACGTTTTTTCTTCTTCTTCGACTTCGTATGTTCGTTCTCTGGAGCGTGCTATAGCTACGACAACTCCTCCGATTCCTTGTAAGCACGGAAGGACGCCGCATAGGGACTTGTGCGATCGATTTGGATTAGGAAAATTCGGGAGTGCAGTTCCGCATGAGAGATATTCGGGATTCAATGCGCCTATAGGTGTGCGGTGGTTGACGCAGTCGGCGGCGGCGGCGAAGAATCATGATCAGGAGAAGAACGATGAGGCGGTGGCGAAGAAGCGGAAAGAAGCGTCTCCCGAGGAGTGTGATCAGGCCGTTGAAGGATTGACCACGGCGAAGGCCAAAGCCATGGCGAAACGGTCGCAAGAGTCACAGAAGGAAGTTCAAAGCGTTTTAAGGAGAGTTTGGACTGCGTTTTTGGGAATCGGTCCTGCGTTGCGAGCCGTGGCATCTATGAGTAGGTCCGCATTTATTGTTCCTTAGATTATACGAATTTGCATTTGCTGTTGAGTGTTGAGGATTGAATTTAAATTTTAGATTTAAGTTACGGTTGTGTTTCGAGTATAAAAATTGCTATTGAGGCTTTTGAAATGATTGTATTGGGGAGGAGATTGCTGATGCGGACTGAAATTTGATACGGTGAAAGGTTTATTTGTGAATGGTTGGTAATTTGGCGTTTAGGTTTGCTAATACTTGCATTTACTTTTTAAAATTGTATTTGATTTTAAGTTGAAGGTGTGGTTGTGTTTAGAGTAAAGAAATTGCAGCTGAGACTTTGAAATTCTAGTGTTATGGCTGTAATTGCTGTTGCGGAGCTAAATATGAAACAGTGAAATGTTTGTTCATTAATAGTTGGTGTGTTGGTCTTTAGGTTTTGCTAATTGTTTTATTTACTTTTGACGATTGCATTTGATTTTAAATTGAGCTTGTGGTTGTGTTTCGAGAATAGAAATTATAGCCGAGGCTTCTGAATTTGTTAGATTGAAATTGTGAAATGTTTACTCTTTAATGGTTGGTGATTTGGCGTTTTGGTTTGCTGATGGTTGCTACTACAGGGAGGACTGGGCAAAAAAACTGGTTCACTGGAAAGGGGAATTTGTGTCAACGTTGCAGCATTATTGGTTGGGTTCTAAGCTGCTTTGGGCTGACGTGAGGATCAGTTCCAGGTTGTTGTTGAAGCTTGCAGGTGGGAAGAGTCTCTCCAGAAGGGAGAGGCAGCAACTGACACGGACTACTGCTGATATCTTTAGGCTAGTTCCTTTTGCAGTTTTCATTATTGTTCCTTTTATGGAATTCCTCCTGCCTGTGTTTCTAAAGTTATTCCCTAACATGTTACCCTCAACATTTCAAGACAAGATGAAAGAACAGGTAATAAATTATCAATCTTTTTTTTTGGCCATTTGCCGTATAAGTCAAACAATTATCAAATTAGACAGAATATTTTTTTGGAGATAAAAATTGTTGTTCTCTTCTCTTCCAAAACCAAACTTCTGAAATACTTTAATAATCAGCATCTCTGGTTACAAATTATATTTGAGCTAACATATGTTCTATGTTCAATGCATTTCTAATCAGATCCTGATAGAAAGCATTTTTGTGTCTCTGTATTTGGAATGTGTTTACATTTATTTTCTTAATTCAGTTAGCATGAATGTGTGGGATTTGACCGCCCATCTTTGGGTGTTTGGGTGACTCAGTTGCTCAATGTGTAGGAAGCATTGAAAAGGAGACTCAAGGCAAGAATAGAGTATGCAAGGTTCCTTCAGGATACGGTCAAAGAAATGGCAAAAGAAGTTCAGAACTCCCGTAGTGGAGAACTAAAGAAAACAGCTGAAGATCTTGATGAATTTTTGAACATGGTTAAAAATTTAGTTTAAAGAATTGTTTATGAATCTTACGTTTTGAAGTTTTTCCTTGGTTTGTCATTTGTATGCTTTATTTCCTTTCTGCAGATTAGAAGAGGTGCAACTGTCTCTAATGAGGAAATTTTGGGCTTTGCTAAGTTGTTTAACGATGAACTTACTCTAGATAATATAAGCAGGTTGGTCTCCAAACCCTGTTTGACTTCAATATACTGTTTTTCTCAGTTGTGAGGTTGTGTCATGACTTCTATTGACTCTTTACTGCTTGTAGGCCACGATTAGTCAATATGTGCAAGTACATGGGAATAAGCCCTTTTGGCACTGATGCATACTTGCGCTATATGCTAAGAAAACATTTACGAAGGTAAGATGCATTTTTATCATGCATGTTTTTGAAACCTTGTTCTTTACTATTATTTACAACTTGGAGTTTTATCTATTTGTAATGCATTTTGGAAAATAATAAAAAAAAAAATCTCTAATGAAAAAAGATACCTTGTTATTAGAAAATACTACCTCTCCTTACTTGCATTAGGTTAAAAAATAAGATAACAAATAATCTTATGCATATTAATTATTTAAATATAAGTATAAAAAACATGAATACAATAAAAGTATTCCGGTATCTTGTGGCTACAACAACCAACACAACCAAAGCCTTATCTTGACTGACAGGTTTGACTTCTTGAATCAAATAATGTCATTGGGTTCAATCAAAAGATCAAATTCTTCATAAATCCATTGATGCAACACCCAATTGGGTTGGACCTATGTTTGGATTGGAGAGTACTGCTGTATTAACATGTGAAAACTTGTACCATACATAATTAATTATTTTAATTATGAAAAGAATTGTTTCTTTCAATTTATTGAAGGTTGAATCGGTTAGAGAGGAATTGTATTTAAAAAATAAAAAAAAATGCAGAGGAATTATTTCCTTTCGTCATTGTTTTTGTCTGAACTCTTTACAATCCATCTATTGAAAGCTTTTGATCAGCAAGGAAATGGATTTGAGACATCAGGTTGAGCTCCGCAAAACTAGCACTATGGCCCTAAAATATTTGATACAAATATTGGTTTGAGTGTAGGCCTTGTTTCATCTTGATCACTTGGCAATATAATTCTTCAAACTGCTATTATCTGCTGCTGCATTCATTTTCTGGTGTTTTGATTGTGATAATGTAATTACCATCATTGACCCAGAAAAATAGTTTTCTGTTTCACCTTTTAATATTCTATACTTAAATTTACCATTCAACATGACAGACATACCTTGTAACTGTGTTACTTGCAACATGTCCCCCTTTTGTTAGGATTAAGGAAGATGATAAATTGATTCAAGCAGAAGGTGTGGATTCTCTTTCAGAAGCTGAACTTCGGGAAGATTGTAGAGAGCGAGGCATGCTTGGGTTGTTTTCTGTTAAAGAAATGCGCCAACAGGTAATGTTGGGAACAATTCATGAATGTTTGTTCTATTTGAGTTCTGGATCTTGATGAGGGTATTGAAACCTCAAGTTTTCTTGAATATCAAATGTTACCTTGGTGTTTCTCTTCTAAAATTTGCTAGCCTGCCTTTACAGCTTCGAGATTGGCTCGACTTATCTCTAAATCACTCTGTGCCATCATCCCTTTTGATACTTTCAAGGTAATTCTAGCAAGGCTTCCTCCCGCTGTAGGGTCAAATAATAAGTTAAAGAATAAACCTGTTTGATATGCATTTTGAAATCTCACTTGATATCTTTATAGGTCATTTACTGTGTCTGGGAAATTGAAACCAGAAGAAGCTGTACAGGCTACACTTTCTTCTCTTCCCGATGAGGTTGTAGATACTGTACAGGTTACATCTTTACCCTCTGGGGATTCTCTCTCAGAGAGGAGGAGGAAATTGGAGTTCCTTGAAATGCAAGAAGAACTTATTAAGGTAAACTATGGAAATGCATTTCTCTTGATACTTATTGTGTTTGGAGGTATCTTTGTTGCATTAGGATGATATTGTCAATGTTATTCTGTTTGATATTGTTTGCTGTTTTCTCTGGTTCATATGAGAAGAATGAAGAATCTGCCAAAAAGTATTGAATGCTAAGTGATAAAAAAAGAATCATTTCAATATTTTTTTGGCAGAATTCTTTTTTAGTCTGATTAGTCAGTTTATCAACATAAAGTATTGTGTGTTGATATGCTAGAAGTCACCATATAGTTCATTTTCTAGGTTTCAATAACTATTGATGAAAATGAAGTAGCTTTCTTTAGATCCATTATTCCATGTTTCCAAGAGTACAATATGTAACAGTGTTATAAATAAATTGCAGGAGGAAGAGGAGAAGAGAGAGGAAGAGGTGCAAGCAAGGAAGGAGAGTAGTTCTAGTGAAGATGATAAGGCCCTGAAAGAGATGAATATTTCTACGGCAAAAGAGGCTCACCAACTTGCCAGAGACAGAGCATTGGAAAACAAAGAGCAGCTGTGTGAAATTAGTCGTGCATTAGCAGTTTTAGCTTCTGCGTCGGTGAGAATTTGATGTCTAAAACATTCCCTTCCTTCAATTTGGTGTATTGCCTTCTGATTCTGTAGAATCTATACTAATTTACATGTAAGCAGTTTAATGTGTGCTTTTGTCTATTGGCAGTCTGTAAGTACAGAGCGTGAAGATTTTCTTAGGCTGGTTAATAAAGAGGTATTTGAACTTTCAGATTTATCACTTGCTCTAAATCTTCTATAGGTTTCCTTGAATACCTTTTTTTGGGGATGCAAAAGTTTTGAAGAGCTATAAATATCATTGAAATTTGTTTGCATGCAAGTGAATGAACAGATGTTTCCAATTTTTTAACCTCTGAGTCTCTTCCTTTGAGAACACAAGGGAGTCTTTTATTAAGTTTGTGTTTTAACATCTAAAACATTAATCATCTTAATCTTTTTTCATGTTAATGTGTCTTCTGCTGTACCATGATTATGATATGCGTTATTATTCTTCTGTTCTCCTGAAAACCAGATTTATCCAAATTTATCATCAGAGGATAGACAGGTTAAAAGGAGAAGGGAGGGAGGGTCAGGATTTGAGAGAGGAAAGAGAAAGATTGCTTTATATTATATATAATATACTAAAATTATTAGAAAACTAAATATGAACAAATGAAGTTGTTTGAAAAAGAAGCAATAGATTAGAAGAGTTTGTTTTTGGTTTAAAACAAAAAATGGAGTGCTAATATCCATCAACCAAAAACAAAAAAAAGAGTAGTGTGTCTGTTTGTACAATGGCAATCACTAAAATCTTATTTTTATTGAAAGTCTGTATCATACACTTAAATTTTATATTTGTCTAAGAACATGTTAGACTCCATTGAAATATAATAAATTTATCTTTAATATGCACTGTAAATAATTCAATTGGCTTGAAAGATATACAGAATTATTGGTGATATTTCAAGTACTCATATTTTCTTGTAAGAAGTCATTGTGTGGTGCAACTGTAATGTATCAATATTTGTTTGGTGTTTGTGGCAAACCTAGACATTTTTGGTAGCTGGGACATGGTCAAATACAATAACAACCACAAGAAATATATTAAGGTTCCAACATAAAACCAATTGGCAATATGTAGAGTAGCCTAACATGTATTTAAATCATACCAAATGACATAAGGCAGGCGATGTGGGACTTCCAACAAGCCTCCTCTAACGAAGCCTGCCGGAATAGGTAAAGAGTATTTTTGACTCACAACGAAAGGGCAATTCTTGGCCCAAGACAATAACCAGAAATATGTTAGTTTTTGGCTCTGATACCATGTTAAGGTTCCAACATAAAACCAATTGGCTATATGTAGAGTAGCCTAACATATGTTTAAATCATAAACATACCAAATGACATGAGACAGACGATGTGGGACTTTCAACAAAATACAATAAAAATTTTGTTTACATAGAAAAATACAATAATATAACCTATACACAATTTCATATATTTGATATTATAAATTAATTCTACTGCTATCAAATATTTCTCTTTTTCAATGTATTCGTATAATTCATCTCTGACATTGTTAAAAGGTAGCATTTTAACAATAGTGATAATGATGGTGAATTCTATGCCCTATAATGTGAATTGCATTTGCGTTTGTCTTTGTACGACAATTGTAACAATGTAAATTGATCGCCACTGTGTTTGTGACTTGTGCATATATTTAATCCATTAGCCATTCTTTTCATTGGCTGTTTTGTATGTGTGTCCAGATAGAACTCTATAATAGCATGGTAAAGAAAGAGGGTTCAGATGGGGAAAAAGATGCCTTTAAGGCATATAAAGCTGCGCGAGAGGGACATGACCATGTTACTGAGTCTGGTGAAGGGGATAAGGTGTCATCAGCACTCATTGAGAGAGTAAGACCCATATCATTTATCTATTATTAGGGAAAAGCTAGAAATTAATTTTACACCACTTCAATTTGTTATTTTTTTATTTTTTTTAATTTCAGGTTGATGCTATGCTTCAAAATCTCGAGAAGGAAATAGATGATGTGGATGCCAAAATTGGTGACCGTTGGAGGCTGCTGGACAGGTTTGCACAATACTTTTATTTGGGGGGGGGGGGGGGTTTAAAGAAGTCTAGAAGTCTATGATCTGGTGTAGGGAGGGAGTATTATGCTAAAGTTTAGGCAAAGTGGCCTGGCTGGGATGGGTCTTCCGATCAACCAGTTCTCAAAGGGACATGGTGCCTTTTTTGAGCTACGGCGCTTTGTCCTAATCTTATCAAATTCTGATAAAGTGAAATATGTGGTTTCATACTGCATTTGCATATATATTCAGTTTAGCGGAAGTTGAGCCGTTAATCTGTGATCGCCACTGCTTGCTTGAAAATGCTGCTTCAAGTTTACTGAATAGGAATAATTTGGCTTAGTTGCTTGAGGCTAGTAACACACTCCTTTTAACAGACTCTATAGTTAACAGAGTAAAGAGAGTGAAAAGAAGATTTCTAATTTAGTGGGATGCATTACTCCACTCTATGATCTCATATATATATATATATATAGGATTACAACATTTAAAACAACAACCACCAACTACTAACTACTAACCTCTAACCACTAACTAATAATAATTCCAACACTCCCCCTCAAGCTGGAGCATACAAATTGTATGTGCCAAGCTTAGAACAAATAAATTCAATTCGAGATCCTCTTAAAGACTTTGTCAACACATCTGCAAGTTGATCACTGGACCCGACAAATTCAGTGCAAATTTCTTTAGACAACAATTTTTCACGAATAAAATGACAATCAAGTTCTATGTTTGGTATTTTCATGGAACACCGGATTAGAGGCAATGTGGAAAGTTGTTTGATTGTCACAATACATCTTCATCTGTTGGATCTCACAAAATTTCAGTTCTTGAAGGAATTGTTTCACCCACACTAGTTCACAAGTGAGATGCCATTGCTCTATATTCAGCTTCAGCACTAGACCGGACCACTACATTTTGTATCTTACTTTTCCAAGAAATAATATTGTCTCCAATGAGAATACAATATCCTGTAGTGGAGCGTCTGTCCATATGGGATCCAGCCCAATCAGCATCACAATACCCAGATATTTGGGTACCCCTTTATCTTCATACAACAGACCTTGTCCTGGAGCTTTTTTGAGATATTTTAGGATGTGAACGACAACATTCCAATGATCAGTACGCGGATTTTGCATAAATTGACTCACAACTCCAACGGCTAAAGATAGGTCAGGTCTGGTAATGGTGAGATAAATAAGTTTCCCAACAAGTCTTCTATATCTCTCAGGATCAGAGAGCGGTTCACCCTGATCCGCCATTAATTTCTGATTTGGATCCATAGGGCTGTTTACTGGTCTACAATCAATCATGTCTGTTTCTTTCAGAATATCTAAAACATACTTTCTTTGGGAGACTACGATGCCTTCTTTTGATTGAGCCACTTCAATCCCTAGAAAGTATTTGAGACAACCAAGATCCTTAGTTTGGAAGTGATTGCATAAATGTTTCTTTAGCAGAGAAATTTTATCAACATCATCCCCTGTAATTACCATATCATCTACATATACAATTAAATAAACACATTTTCCTGAAGCAATATAATAAAAAACAGAATGATCTGCTTCACTTCGTTTTAATCCAAAACTTTGAACAATGTGACTAAACTTTCCAAACCAAGCACGTGGAGATTGTTTGAGACCATAGAGAACGATGTAACTTACAAACCAAACTAGACTCCCCCTGAGCAACAAAACCAGGAGGTTGCTCCATATAAATTTCCTCCTCAAGATCACCATGCAAGAATGCATTCTTGATATCTAACTGATGAAGAGGCCAATGACGGATAGCTGCCATAGCAAAGAAAAGTCGAACAGTAGTCATTTTGGTCACAGGAGAAAAAGTATCACTGTAGTCAAGGCCATAGATCTGAGTGTAGCCTTTTGCTACTAATCTAGCTTTGAGTTGATCAACTTCATCTTTTGGTCCAACTTTAATGCCATAGACCCAACGACAACCAATAGTCTTCTTCCCATGTGGAAGAGGAATTAAGTTCCATGTACCATTGTGCTCAAGAGCCTGCATTTCATCAATCATGGTTTGTCGCCATCCAGGATGATCAAGTGCCTCTTTCACATTTTTTGGAATAGTAATAGTGGATATAGAAGAAACAAATGAAAAATAGGAAGGAGACAATCTATGGTAGCTAAGAAAATTGTAAATGAGATGTGGATTACGAGTAGAACGAGTACCTTTGCGAATGACAATGGGCCAACTTGAGTCATCATTATCAGGAATCGTGGTATCAGGGGATGATTGAGAAGGATCTGCTGAGGAAGACTCATCTTGGGACATAGGACTGATCATTTGGCTCCTGTGTTGATAGGTAATAAGAGGCAGTGATGAACATTCCGGTGTATTTTGTGTGGAATTTTGGGTGTCAGGAGGAGGAGATACAAATGGCTCCACTAAGGGTATAGGTAGGACATTTTGGACCAAACTAATATCCTGCATAGAAAAAGGGAAGAAGGGAGTTGACTCAAAAAAAGTGACATTAGCAGACATGTAGTACCTCTTGGTTTCAGGAGAATAACATCGATATCATTTTTGAAGACGAGAATATCCCAAGAAGACACATTTGATGGCTCTAGCTGATAGTTTATCTAAACCTGGAGATATATCATGAACAAAATATACGCAACCAAATACACGAGGAGAAACATAAAAGAGTGGGTCCTTTGGCAATAGAATAGAGTGTGGAACTTTATTGTTAAGAGAAGATGACATTCTGTTAATGAGAAAACATGCAATAAGAATAACATCTCCCCAATGATGAACGGGCATATTTCCACCAAGTAATAAGGTACGAGTAGTTTCAACCAAATGTCTATTTTTCGTTCTGCGATACCATTTTGTTGTGGTGTGTGAGGACAAGTAAACTGGTGTAAAATGCCTTGGGAGCTTAAGAGAGTGGAGAAATCAGTAGAAAAGTATTCTTTGGCATTATCACTTCGTAAAACTTTGATTACTTTTCCAAATTGATTTTTGATTTCGTTAAGGAAAGACTTAAAGATAGGTAATAATTCAGAACGTTCTTTTATTAGATAAATCCAAGTACACCTAGAAAACTCATCAATGAAGGTAACAAAATATCTATAGCCAAAGGATGAGACACGACTAGGACCCCAAATATCAGAATGAACAAGAGAAAAGACAGAGTTACATCTAGATTCAGAACGTTTAGGAAAAGAGGACCTAGTATGTTTCCCTAGTTGACATGATTCACATTCAAAATCTTGAAGGATGCAACACAAGATTGTGTAATAGTTCGTGTAATAGTTTTGGAGACAAGGATGCAACACAAGATACAGATAATTTAGTCCCAAGGTAGTATAAGCCTCCAGATTCATGTCCTTCGCCAATCTGTCGACCCGTACCACGTTCCTGTATAACAAAAGAGTTGGCATTAAAGGTTACTGAACAATTCAATAATTTGGTTAATTGACTTAGGGAAATGAGACTGAAGGAACAAAAAGAACAGATTTTAAGTTTAAAGTCGAAGAAATGGAGACTTGACCAGTTCCTTTAGAAGCTACTTTAGATCCGTTGGCTAAGGTTATGAGATGAGGAGTTTTAGGAAATGAGAGAGAAGAGAACAAAGAGACATTACCAGACATGTGATCAGAAGCACCTGAGTCAATAATCCATGGATTTTGACTTTCCACAGATTGTGAAATGCAAGCTGTTGATGAATTTGGGGTTGTTGATGACTGTGCTAGATTATTGGATTTCAACCTCAAATTTGGGTTCAATCATTTCAGATTTGGAAAAATTGACAGTTTTGTCAGAAAAACCATGCAAAGAGTAGCAATTTTCCACTGTATAACCCAATCTCTTGCAATGAGTGCACTGAGGACGTCCTCTACCTCCACGTCCTCCTCTAGTGCCGCGACTTCCTCTTCCACGGGTAGAAATCATAGCAGAAGATTCAACAAGTTCTTGATTATTTTTTCCTTTGAGAGTTGGAACACGAAGCAATCTTGTAGTCAAACTTTCCATAGAAGGAACTTCTTGTCCAGTTAAAATTTGATCTCTAACATGATCAAATTCTGAATTCATAGCCCGGAGAGTCATAACCATATAGAATTTATCCAACTTTTGCTTTATCTCCTCTAACGAATCCACCTCTAGGAACATCTTTAATTCTTCAACTGTTTATTGAGTTTCAACAAAAAAGGTCATCATATCTTTATCCACTTGCTTGAGAGAGGCTAATCGATTAGCGGAATCATAAAGGCGTTGGATATCATTTGCGAAGATATTCTGAGCTTTTTTCCAGAAAGAGTTACATGTTTTGAAGGATCTAAGAATGTTCAAAATATTTGATTCTACTGATTGCCACAGTAGAGCACAGAGTTGATAATCAAATTTTTTCCATTGTTGAGCCTGATCTTCTGGTATCTTACTTCCGTCTTATTCTAGATAATTGTGAAACCCTTGTCCAAGAAACCAAAGTTCCACTGAAAAGGACCAAGACATGTAATTTTTTCCATTTAATTTCTCAGTCGTTATCGTGGGAGTTCCGGAGAAGGAGGTTGTGGACCCTGACGACATGTTTTAAATAATGTAGATGTAAGATGGAGACAATGAAACCTATAAGAAAGAGAACACCCAAGATAGCCGGAAGGTTACTGGAAGGTGGTCGGAAAGTCGTCGGATGACAACAAAAAAAGGTGACTGGACGAGGGACTGACGGTTGCCGAAAAGTGACCGGAAAGTGGCCGGAAAATGGTTGGACGGTGACCGAAAAATGGTCGGACAGTGATCGGAAATGGCCGGCTGGTGACCGGATGGTGGCCGGACGGTGGCCGGACAGGTAGAGCAAGACCAACCTGCTCTGATACCAAGTTAAGAGAGTAAAGAGAGTGAAAAGAAGATTTCTAATTTAGTGGGATGCTCCATTCTATGATCTCATATATATATATATATAGGATTACAACATTTAAAACAACAATCACCAACTACTAACCACTAACTAATAATAATTCTAACATCTACTATTGGTTAAAATTTATTGGAAACTATAAAATCATGAGTAGAGCTCATGAAATAAAAAGTGAGACTGGTAAATGTTTATATAGTTTTCAATCAATTTCAACAAATAATAAAATGTGCTCAAAAGAGTGTAAGACTGTGCTACTATCATCTTTCTAGTTTCTATTGTCATGGAATGTTCTCTTTTGTAATGGATTCTTACTAAAGAAGGAGAGAGACCGAAGCCACAGAATGTGATTACTGTTTGATGGCGGTTTGAAGCAAGATTTTTGTGATTGTGTGAAAAGTGATCTTTCTAGGGATAGAACCTGAAAGTATAGGAGGAATAAGCATGTTATTGCATATACAGCCTCAATAAAATGAGCATGGAAAGAATTCAATGACTTGTCACCAAAGATACCGTGCTTATCTTTCTCCCGCTTTTTCTATTTGAATATATAACTGCCAAGTGAGGCTGTTTTCAATTTCCATTATGGCTCTTCACAATTGATCAATATCTCTGACGGAACTATTTTGTTGTGCTTTATATAATCTACAAAGGATTTTTGTTGTTCTAAAATTTAAGTTCAACTACTACAAACAAGAGAGAGATGTGAATACATTCTTATTCTATTCTATTTTGATAATGATTATAAGGTTCTGGCATTTGAACTGCAGATGTATAATTGTCTGAACTCTTTTCCCAAGTTGAAAGCTTAACAATCAACTACAAATGGGAAGAATACATTAGCGCATTTGTTTTAAAAGTTAAATCATGTTTGGGATGTGTAGCGTGTGATTATTATTTGACAAGATAAATTTGATCGGTCATGTGCATTATTTCTTGTTGGCACTAATGCAAATTTGTACTTCATTAGGACAATTTTTGTTTGTAATAACTTCTGTGAATATGTTAAGAGTTGTTTTGGGCTTTTTTGCAGAGATTATGATGGGAAGGTAACTGCTGAGGAGGTAGCCTCTGCTGCAATTTACTTAAAGGATACATTGGGCAAGGAGGGTATCCAAGAACTTGTCAGCAATCTTTCCAAAGATAGAGGTCTGTCATTTCTATCTCACATATCTAATATTTTTCTTAATCTTATCAAGTCTTGATTTTGTTTGCTCTGTAGTGTATTTGAAAATATTTTTGTTTCTTTATTCGCATAAATAAATTCCAGGGAAATTTTCATGGAATTTCACTTTAGCAATAGGTGACTGAACAGTATCTCAGACAGATCAATCAAAAGTATTGATTACTCTGAATTTTAGATGCTTAGCCATTAAAGTATATTATTGTTCAGAATCGTTTTGAAAATTATTCTAAAATTACTTTCAAAATGACTGCTTTTTAAATGTTACTAACCAAGTTTTTTCATTTTCATTTTTAAGTATGCGCCTATTCAAATTGGTCTCTAATTAATTAGTTTACCCTGCCAAGTTATCAACTTAGTAAACAATTTCATCAAGGACTGTTTTATGTAAACTTCCATGAATGCAAACAACACAAATTTCCATATCCAGAAGCAATTTGTATAATACATCATTTTTTTTTTAAATAAAGTATATTAGCAAATTGTTCATCCATACTCCTTTTTTTTTTTCTTTTATTATTATGAAGATCAGTTCATGAATACTACAATTACTGATATCATTTTTTGTGACTACAGATGGGAAAATACTAGTTGAGGACATTGTTAAGTTGGGCAGTTGGAGGGAAGATGGTAATGCACCTGAAGATGGGACCAGGGAGAGCGTCTGATCCATCATGACTTCCAGATGCATCTTATTTGAGTTCCATGCCACAAAAAATGTTGCGCAAATAGACTCTAGGACGTTCGAATTTTTCAGCCATTGATTTTTTATTGATGTATTAATAAGTAGTTCAATTGTAGCAGTCAGATGAAAATGAAATGTGTGCAAGCTTTGTAAATTTATGTCAGCTGAACACATACGTGGATTCACACACTTGAACTTTCTTGGCTATTGGGATGCATAGCTGTACTAAAATTTAATTTACTTCCGTGAAATATAATTGAAACAAAGTATTATATTTTAGCAATTTGTTACCTTATAGTTTAAACACGCGTGTTAAGAATTTCAAACAATAATTATTAAATGAAAATTGAATCCTTTCGTATGTCGAAGGTTAATTTAATTACATGGATTGCTAATTCAAACTGGTTAATAATGGCCCATTCAACTTTGTAAGTCCAAATCCTTAGACAATATATATGAGATCTATCTCAACAACTTTTCTCAATGTCCTTTGTTTCTTTTTAACAATATGCAATATACTTCTTTTACTAGTGCTTTAGATGACTTCTTTATTGTGCCTAAATCATCTTAATCATTTCTATGCTACTTTCTAACCATCATTCTTTGTCTTGTGCGAGATATTTTCTATCCTTTTGTTTTATTAATTTTGAATATCTAAACTTAGAAACCTATAGATTGACATCTTCTCTAATCTTTGATTTCAATTCCTGCCTTATATTTTTCTTCTTCTAACGTTGCAATATGTATGCTTTAATTCCTACATAAATAAAATTTCTATTTTCAAAATCAGTCTTCAAAGAGAGTTTACAGTTAACTACTTCATTTCATTCTTTAGTTAAAATAATATCATCTATGAAAGACATGTAATTAGTCTTTAATTAAAATTTTATCATCAGTAAAGACATGTAATTAGATATGACCTTTTGTAAACATCCAAAACTAAATTAAACAAGTAAGCACATTCACGAGTGTAGATATTTTATCGTGCGGCATGTTGGACATTTATATATATATATATATATATATATATATATATATATATATATATGTGTGTGTGTGTGTGTGTGTGTGTGTGTGTGTGTGATTTAGTTGGAGAAACCATTTTCTTTTTACTTAATTTCTTTTAACATTTTTGAATCATGTGTTATAGTTTTTTAATTTATGATTTCGAAATTACAATGATTTGACAATTTGATTCTCGTTTTCTTTAGAGGATATTACTTAACACATCAATTAACAAGTTTCTTTCTTAATTATCACAATACTTTCCTGTGCAACGTACCATTTAGTTTGTTTGATTAATTAAGTTGCCACAGTGTATAAATACGTAAATATGATGACAAAATATTGGTTCTGTGAATTGCTGACTTAGGCTGTGAGTATTCTTTTTTTAAGTAATTATGTCAAACTTAGTGTGACAGTGCATACATTTTAATTGTATAGAGAGCGGTTTTAAGTATGTGCATTGGTTTGTCAAAGTTAAGTTTTGAGATCTATTAATTGTGTTGTGAAATTGGGTTGCTAAATAAATATGTTACGACATAGGGAGAATTTTGTTTGATTCAAAAAATAAAAAATATTTTCTATAATCAATGTAAAAAAATAAACTTTTAAAATTGTTTTTTAGCAAAAAAAAAAAGAGAGAATGTAATCACTTCCGAAAAAAAAATCTACACACTTTTTTAAGAGATTTTGTGATCATTAAATAATTTTAATCTTCACTATCTTTATATGACTCAAAATCATAATTCTTGTATATTGAAATGACCAGTATTCTTACTTGATAAGAGCATGGGAAAATTTTAGTATGAAAAAGAAGAATAAAAAAATATTAGTTAATCGACACACGTGTGTGTATATATATATATATATATATATATATATATATATATATATATATAGATACTTGGGTTTAATATTGAAATATTAGTCTATAATTAGTGGACTTTAATGAAGTATAATTATCATTTTCTTTTACTAATTTTCATATAAAAAACCGACTTCGTATTTGTTTTGTTCAGGTCATAATTAAAGCTAAAACTCGTCTCTCACTACATTTTTAAACAAACCTTTATATGTAAATGAAAAAGGGAATTATATACGCAACCAATCAGAATAATTAAAATTTTTAAAATAACTTTTAGAAAGTAAAAAAAAAATACCATCCATAACAATTTGTTATTATTGAATGGCATGTATAATAAAAACCCTTTATTTTGTCCATACATTTTTTCCATCAGCCAAACAGACAGAAGGAAAATAAAATTCTCATACAATTCAATGCCAAAGACTTTCCAACAACACTACATTTTGTAGGGAATCCACGTTCAATATTAGTTGAAAGTTGAAACCAATTGGGATATTCGTTTTGTTTAGGATTTTTTCAGATTCTTTATAAATTCATTGATGTTGTGGTCTGAAGTGCCACCCTGACTCACTGCTTCTACAGCCAATTCCTTCCATTTCATAGCATTAATCCTCATTTCTTTTCCAAGGTCCTTTTCCATTACTACCCTGATGCAATTCTCAATCTCTTCTCTTGTTACAATCCCATTCTCATTTTCATTAACTCTGATTCCCACTTTCCATACATCCTCAACAAATTTTGCATTGGTGGGTTGGTCAGTCCACTGTGGTAGGGCAACCATTGGCACTCCCAAGCAGAGTGCTTCAAGAGTTGAATTCCATCCACAGTGTGTGAAAAAACAACCAACAGCTTTGTTTGATAGCACTTCCAATTGGGGTATCCAATTAACTATCAAACCCCTTCCACATGCATTTACTTCCTTCCCCATCTCCTCTGAGAGATTCTTGCTCTCCAAATTTGGAATCACCCACAAGAAGTTGAAACCAGTTCCCATTAGGCCCAATGCTATTTCATCCATCTGCTGGGAGCTCAGGCAAACCATGCTGCCAAATGATATGTAGATGACTGACCCTGCAGGCTTTTGTTTGAGCCAACCAACTGCTGATGAGTCTGACTGAAAGAGATTCAGAACATTGTCTCTGTCATTTGGGACTACCTTGTCCAAGTGAAAGGATGGAACTGTTGGCCCAATTGTCAATAATGGATATATCTTTGACATGGAATCCACCACCTTCACATAGATATGGGATATTATGAGGTCATAATTTGTCCAACCAAACACAGTCACAATTCATTTTTGTTTTACAAAAAATAAGAAAAAGGAGTGATGACCTAGTGAAAGACAGAAATAATCTCTTGATTCAAAGATCATTTATAAGAAAAGACAAGGGAAAGCTCCTCCAACGTACAACTTGTTAGATAAGCCTCCAACGTTTTGTTGGGAACATATAAGACCGAAAGTAAATAAAAAATACACAAGAAATTTACGTGCTTTATTCGAAATGACTTACATCTACTGCTGTAGTAGAAAAAAAATAACTAAACGAGTCAAACCTAGTAATCCTTCTTTCTCTACATACATCATAATCTTATTGAAGTTTTCGAGGGGATTCCCATAAAAGAAACACAAGAAACATACCTCCAACCCATAAATTGATATCACAAGAACCTTTAATGCATTAGTTTATGGGTTTGCTGATCAACTTTCTTAATAAGTTGAAACTAAACCACAGTAATGCATGTACCACCAATAATTCAGTCATTTTCATGATCAGGAACAGATTATGTAGCTTTGACTAACTCTAAAATGCCCCAATAATATCACATGGCTCGTGGTAACTTTCAAGTTTGTTGTATGTCAATGTCAGTTTTGCTGCACAACCATAGCATAAGAATATCAAATGCATAGTAAATTTACCTGGTCCTCTAGCTTGTAGAAGGAATTGACAAGAAGCATATCTGCTTTGTGGATGTTAGAGAATTGATTCATGACCAAGTCAAAGTAAGCTGGATAGAAGGAAGGTTCATAGACAAAGGCTGGTGTGTCTTTCAGATCAAGCAAAGGAAGCCCTGGAATAGAGATTGGTAGTGATGAAACGGGAACCTTTAGAAGTCCATGGTAGACATGGTAATATATATAATTGACAGCACACAATTGGGTGAAAAAAGCAGCTCCCAATAACCCAAATTCTTTGGCTACATCCAACACCCATATCAAAAAAGCATCATACACCACACAATCTATAGGGTGATGAGAAGAGTTGTGTTTGTTGATGATTTCCCTCAAGCTGTTGGAGCCTACTTCTTGCATGCGAGACAAATAGGTTTTCACGCAACCCACTTGATTGAAACCACCTTGGTCATAGCCATCTGATATGAAATCAAGTTGAACAGTGCCCAATGAGGATGAAGATTGGAGATGCATGGACTTGGAAATGAAAATGGTTGTGACCATGGTCACTCTCACTCCTTTGGAGCACAAGCGTTTGCTGAACTGGAGCATTGGGTTTATGTGACCCTGGCTTGGGTATGGAACCATTAACACATGACTACATCCACTCACTTTCTCTTCCATCTCTTGTTCCTGCACACACAAAAGCTACACAAGATACTAAACAATGAAGGTGATGACCATGAATAGCCCTGTCACTACTCATTTCTTATTTTCTTGGTACAAACCCTTCTAGTTACGTGTACGAACCCTTGTACAGAAGAATACTGATTGCAACTCTTTTCTCTCTTATGTTCTACAACTCCTTTTAATAATCAAAAATATAATATTATTATATTAATAAAAACAGGTGTTAGATAATTATATTTTTAAAAGAATTGTCCACCTATCATTTTTCTATATTAAATTCAGAGTTATTAAAATAAATTAAAAATTACAATAACATATTTTTTATTTAAACTTATATTTTTTATGTGAACATGAATTATGATAAGGCGAGAGTAAGAGAAACAAAAGAAGCTTCTTCAACAAGTATTATTAGATGACCAAATTGTATTTTGGATTAATCAATTAATGGACTTTAGTTTAGTTTTATTGTAAGTTGTAATAAGGTACCAATTGAAAATTTAGTTATTAGCCTTTGGGAGACTAAGAGGGTGCATAGACTGATTGACTTTTGGATGTTCAATTATAATCAATTATTAAGTAGTTTTCAATTCCTAAATTAATAAATCGCATTTATTTTTCTTTAATTAATATTTGTAACTATGATGTTGTAAATAATCATTTAACAATTTATAATATTAATACAATAATAAATCTGAATATTATATTAGTATAATGACTTGTATATTAGTGTTTGGATTATAAACAAATTTTTTGAGTAATAATATTTTATTATTAAAAAGTAACATAAAATGTACGGAAAATAATAGAGTCGTAGGTATGTAGTGTTGTCGATGGTAGAATTGGAAGATTTGTATGGTTGTCCTTTGACTCTGCTCTAAGTTCTAACCAACCATTTCACATCCAAACCTAACCCCAACCCATCATTCACCACACGTTAGATAAAATCTATAAATTTTTATTTTAGAAAGATTAATCTCACTCTTACTTTACATTTAAAAAAAAAAAAACTAATTCCTTATTAATACAGAATGTTGAGTTAAATAATGTGAACACTCCAAGTTCTAATATGACTTTATATTTAAAATTTGATTAAATATTAGAACTTTATATTTAAATTAATATTATTAAAATTTGATTATAATATTAGTATATCCTTTGTTTGCTTTGCATCTTCATATCTTAATTTGTTTCCATAAGAAAAATATTGTAATATAGAGTAGTTATACTTTAGAGATTTAAAAAAATTTAATTATTTTAATCTATAATTATAATTTTAAAAAATAGTTTTACTAATTATTTAGAAAAGTTGAACAAAATTTTAAATTGCTTTTAATGATAATGTTTTGGGACCGAGGGTTTAAGTATCAATTAGGGAACCCTTACTAACAACTATAGTTATTGGCTAAGTATTGACTATTCGCGTGCTCATCCTATGGTATCGGAGCGAGGACACATACTCGATTCCTGCCAAGGACGGAATTGGGAGCAACAGGTGGTAAGTCCCCACGAGATTCCCAAAGAGTGGGGAATCGAGTCGCGAAATCTTAGTGAGGCCGAGGGTTTAAGTATCAATGTGGGAACCCTTACTAATAACTCGTACTTATTGGCTATCGCTACGTGCTCATCCTTATATATATATATATATATATATATATATATATATATATATATATATCCAATACATAATTTTATTAAAAAAATATATTAAAAAAAAAATAATAATAATAATAATAATGTAACTTTAGGTATGGGATAAATCAAGTTGAACCAATATTATTCACAAGCTCAGAATTCCCAATAACATTAATCATTATTTCTGAACAATTTGTACCAATACTATAGTTATAAATAAATAATTTTAATTCTCTATTCACAAAAATTAAAATTTACATCAATGACTAAAATGAGTGTCAGTTTTTTACCGAAAAACAATATAGTGTGCCAAAATAAAAGTGTTCTCCTGATTTCTTCTTTATGCAATTTAAAAAATGTACAAAATTCATCCTCGTTCCTCGCTACTGAAAAGAGTCTTTCATTAACCTGTTTTGTCTTCGCAATCCATATACATATGAACACTCAGACATACAAAAGAATGATGCATTCAGCCAAATCAACTGCATGTTACGAAATTACTTGTCAGACTGACAAAAAGGAGACAAAAGAAATTACAGCATATAAATGCAAGATAACTTTGGGAATAAAATTAGATTAGATAGATATTTGTACAAAATTTTTCCAAATGTCAATAAATGATAGGACTAGGTAATTGTTTGTACATTTTTTGCAATTATCAAAACGGCAGCTGAATTTACAGTCACTCAATGCTTGTTACTATACCTCTCCACACCCTCTTTACCTTCATTTGAACCAGGTGTTAGTAATTTCCTACGTATTTTCAACTATTTCTTTTCCAACTTTGATTGAATGGTTACAAGTATACCCCTATAGTACCACTTTTTATGTACACAATAAACACCCCGAGAACCCTCTTCAATGCTGGCAGAAGCATAGTTCATGATGGCAGAATCATCAGATTCAAAAACTGTTTATGCTCAGCTATACTCCATCCTTTTCTAGGACAGATGCCAGTATCTTCATGCTGTGAGGCTGTATATAAGAAACTCCAACCTTGTAGAGGTGCTTCATCACAGGCTGTGAAAACGTAATCAATATGTTAGATGACACATAATAAAATAAATTTAAAAAGTTGTTTGAGAGAAAGAAAATTACCCAATTGTTCCAACCAGGGCTCCCAGTAGTGCATGTACATAGTCCCGAGAACCCAATCAGAGAAACTTATCAAGTGGACAGAATATAACATTTAAGCTATCCCTAGGCACTACAAAGCTTCCAGAGTTATTGATGCCTTGGTGAAAACAGAAAGTACAAACGGTGCTTCTTCTCCCGGGTGTATAGTAGTGGGAACTATAGTGTATCCCTTTGGTTCAGGTTCCAAAACCATTTCACAGGATATTTCTCGAGAATTAACATAGTCTGTCCCACCAACGGATTCATGTAGGTATATATTGAAAGCAGCACGTCTGCCACGAGTTTTGAGTATTCTCATTCCAATGTAGAACATCAGTGAATCATGGCTTGATTGATAGTTTCTAAAACCAGCAGTTGTTCTTGAAAATCCTACTCCCTGTAAATACGATGAAATTAAGTTTAGAAGAAATTCAAGGGAAGTGTTCTCCTCGATAAATGCATTAGTAGATATGCAAATATCAATAGTACCTGAGTTAAGGTTATGAATACATGGATTGGAAATGATGCGTCTTGCCCAGTTGCAGTCAGTCTGAACTGCGGATTTTGATTCCATGTATCATAATCTTGACACCCACCGGCACTGTAACCACGCCATTGGCCATGGACAGAATGACGCATCTCTGATGGATAGATACGACAGATATAGATTGATCGAAAATGAATCTGAAAATCTTGCCAAGACATCCAAAATATACCATCTTTTGACTGTCGAAAAAGGTGAATAAAAAAGAAAATGGTTACTTGGTAGAGCAAACAGTCTACTCGATCATAAAGACGAAGAGATATCAGAGTCAAATCATAGACAGATTCACAACAGAAAAGCACATCGAACTACCTGCGGGACATGCTTCAGCTTGTGCTTTATCCTGTCCGACCATTCAGGCGATGAGTCAGACCAGGGACCATTCCACTCAACTTCGTTGGCCCATGGATTTCGGATCTGAACAAGTTTATGACCATCCACCTCTCTTACCTAAAATTGTACGACAGCAGAGATCATTAAAAATCATTTCGATTGTCAAGGACCTATGGATTGAACGACTATATACAAAACACATCCGTAACACAAGAACCTTCTGGGCTTAAAGCACGAATAAACACAGCTCTGCTCTACTTCATGGTGAAATTAAGATTTTTATGTAAAATAAAAGAATAAGAATAATGAATATCAAACTCCTGACTACTCGATCATAAAAGGCTTTGTTTCCGTGTCAAGAACCAGAGTTATCAATGGTTGAAGGCCCAATTTTCGCTGTATATACATGCCATTGTGGCCTATGGTGCCCAAATAGCTGGCCACCTTCACATATGGAAATTGACAAATAATTTATCATACCATCCTGCCATGGCACCGCTATTTAACAACAATGTTAAGGATCGATGCTCTTGAATGCATACCAAGCTATTAACTTAAGGATTATAAATTGATTGTGAATATATTAAATATAACCCAGTACCTGCAGTATTGAGTATGCATGTCCTTGCACAATGCCACTAGAAGATATGTGCACATCAGAACCCGAAGGACTTCCTGCACCCAAGAGAAAACCTTCTTGCTTGAAGCGCAACAGTTGAGACCACAATCTGCCACTTGCAAGGTCAATCTGGGCTTCACCACTCCTCATGTCAATTTCCTCCCCTGCACCCCCTGTAAGATCCACCAGAGCATCCTGAACAAGACCACCTTCTAGTGCTTCGTAAGAGCCATGCAACTTTGCATATGCCTTCTCCAATATAGAGACCCAAAGTTCATAACTCTTCTTACTAGTACCAAATGCAGGTTTACCCGGTAATTCACAAGGAATCCAATCATCAACAACAACGGGAATCCACTCACCCTAGATATCATAAACCAAAATATTCAAATAACTAAGATGCTAAAATAATAGAAAATAACAGCATATCTGAGCAAAATGAAACTCGAAAGTCTCTACTAGAAGTGGACAGAGATATTATCTTGTAGAACTTGACAAGACAGCTGCAAGTGATTTGTGTGAGTGACTATAAATACAAATTTAGAATAAAATTTGTTAAATTAGGCTTTTACCATTCACCTCTCCGAGAATGTAGAAAAGACAAAGTAGTAACCAATCTTACGCTCCAAGATCATAACATTTGCAATTTATTAGGAAAACATTGTTTATCCAATTACAGCGTGAAAAAGAGATAAATAAAAAGAAACTGATTTACATCTGATGAAAATCTAACACTTTTTGCATGCTTATTACCTGAACACAGAAGCGAACAGTGTAAATTCCCTCCTCGTTGTAATCTGGTGTGATGATTACCTCCGATATACGTGAAACCTCTGTCAGAACAGCAACAGCGCTCAAAAACCAACAATCACCTAAACGGCCCTGTTCAATGTACATAACAATTAATACATAGAAAAACCAAAATACTATCTACAAACATTTTATTTTCAAATTCTTGCAAGTGAGCTGTAAAACAGACCTGACAAACATCGGAAGGATTTGGAGCTCCTGAAAATAGGCATGGACGACAGTCAAAATGGTTTTGTCTGGCAATTTCACCTGGCCTCAACCATTCGGAAACAACCTGTATATACAAAACAATACTAATTTTACAGGGGTGAATACACGGACAAAAAAAAAATAATTAATAAAGAAAAATACCTGTAACTTTGCAGGGGGGTTTGCAGGGTCCACATACAATGAGTGATCATTGGGAGGAAATTCCTGATCAGTAAAGCGTGTCTCTCCTCTAGAAAATAGAGCTTCTTTGATGGCTAATTCAACTGATAGCATCCGTTGAATAACCTCTTCTTGTGTTTCTATTCTAGGTTTTCTATATTTCCTCGAAAAGGAATCAATATCCACCACCATGCCATCACGCTCAGACCTTCTCTTCCTCCCACTAGAATATTGTCCATCCCAGTCTACATCATCTCTGTCGTATAAATCTACATCGGCAGGATCACTGTCCCAACCATCAACCTAGGCAGAAGATGTGTTAATATGAATTGTCAAAGTATGTGTTACACACATAGATAGGAGGGATTCATTCACTCAAAAATTAAGAGTTAGAAAAATTATTTTCACCCTCACCATTCAACTTTTATAATCTAATAATCTAACATAATAACTCAACTTAATATTGAATCCCTTCTCATTTAAAATTTCAATTACGTCTTTTTTCATACAATAAGGATGTCACAGGAAAGGAAGAAGCAACAGCATACCCTAGAAGGTGAATCCGCCCACTGCCAATTATCTTCAGGGAAATCAAGTGCACCAAAGTCCGCTGAAGCCATTGACGTATAGAGAGAAGAAACCTCGTCATCAGTTAAGCACCTTCCCCAGAGAAAAGCATCCATAATATGCATCTTAGATTCAACCCCTTCACTGTCTGATCTACCAAATGCATCAATATCTGTTGGAGGTCTAACACCAACCCACACTTCTGTCCCCTCTTCCCAAATGCTGCTACCCACACACAATGGTAATCCATTCTGGTATCCATCAAATCCACCATCTAAATAACATGTTGCTTCACCTAAATCAGCATCAATTGTCATGGTTACAATATGCCACCTGCAATGCATTTACCACTCATAATGTTAGAACCTTCAATAACATGGACTACATATATATATATATATATATATATATATATATATATAGAGAGAGAGAGAGAGAGAGAGTGAGAGAGAGAGCTCCATTTAAGTTCACTGTTTCAAAATAGTCATGGCAGTATAAATTTTGTTCATAGTTGCAAATTTACTATCACCTAATAGAAAAAGTCAATCCTAACAGTCTTTAAAGATAATCTAATTTTGGGCATTTCCAGAAAGCTAGATGGCAGGTGACATCTTTGACTTTTAAATAAAATTGTGAAAAATGCAAAAGGTTCGTTTAACATCTTTCAGAGAATGTCATTTAACAATATGCAACAGACGGTAAAACATACAAAGAAGACTCACTCAGTCGTGAACCTGAAATTCAGAAGAGAAAATAAAGAGAAAACCAAACCTTCCATCTGCAATACTCGTTGCACTAACACTCCACTCCTTTGCAACAGTGGTTTGCCTATCACCTTTAGTAATCAATCTAAGCCCAACTTGTCCAGCCTCAATACCTTGTTCAGATCCAGCCACAAGAATTTCCCAGCATATCTTTTTCTGAAACTCGGTACCCAAGAGACATATAGGACCAGATTCAGGTTGTATCATCAATGCAATAGAGAAGCTAACTTTTTGACTTTGACATAAACTGGAATCAATTGGACCACAATGCCTGCCACTGGCTGTAGGCTCATCATCAAGAACACATATGGCACCTGTCACTCCCGTCTGCAAAGATACCAAAAATTCACTATAAATTAAGTAATCCCTGGAGGTAATGGATTGTTTTATAAAACACCAATAGAAAAATTGGTATAATTTTCATATAATGTCAATACTTGTAAACTGTTAAAAAATTAAAAATCACCTTAAATATGACTTACAAAGTAATTATTACAAATGTTCTAAAAAAAGATGGGAAAATACCACAGCTGTAAAATGTTCTAAAAATGTTTTACTACTTTTAAGGATACAAAGCACTATTAATTAATTATCTTTCATTAAAAATAGATGGGAAAATACCATAGTTAAAAATAAAATATTTACTTTTGGAATACATTTTCCACCACAAACCTCTGCTAATTCTTGAAAACCAAAAATGGGAACATAAACCATTCCATTATTAACTACACCACAAATAATGAAAATGAGGATGATCATTCCATCCAATTACTTTCTATTCCCATTGACTGCCATCCAATAAATTAAAGAAGCTGTTGGAAAATTCCTACCAAATGCTATCAGAATTCAGAATAATTATAAAAGACAATTAATGAACCTGAAGTGCCCGTCTAGACAACTGTGAAGCACGAATTCTTCGAGCAATGCTTGAAACCCTCTCTCTAGCAAAAGAATCATCTAAAACTGAATCACCTCCAACTGCACGTACTGCTGCTGCCATGGCAGCAGCCTCTCTGCTGCTAGCATTAGGAATGGAGGAAAGCAACGAAGCTTCTATCTCTTTCCATTTACGTTCCTCTTTTTCAAGTAAGGCCTTCCTCCTCTCTTTCCCTCTCCCCTCCTCTTCACGCCTCTGCATGAAGACTTCCTCTTCCATCTCCTTTTCTCTTATGTAACTGGAAAATTCACAAGAAAATATTTAGACAGAACAAACTTTGGTTAAGTTACTGTATGTATATTAATCAGATAATCAGGAAAGTACCTCTCCTGAATGATTTCAAATTGCCTGCGATCTTCTGGCATCCACTTCTTTATTTTCTTAGCACTTAAATCAGAAAATCCAATGCTGTCAAGAAAGAGTCTCAAACGGACCTCATCCTACCAGAGAAAAAAGATTATGATTGACAGAAAGGAAAAACTAGATATCATCCACTATATGCAAAACGAGATATCCATTACCTGTGCTCGTTCTGCCTTAGAAGTCAAACCAAGCAACAAAAGCAAATAACCTCCAAACTTGTCCCACATGTACACCCACTCTGTATCAATGGCCTCTTCTAGTGCCAGAATTCGAGCATGAGCACACATGACTCTTCTATAATCCACATCACTGGTTGGCTCATGGCGAAATGTCCTTTGATATCTTAGCCTACTAAAGAACGAACCAGCAACTAATTCTTCGTTTCTCAAGCGGTCTCTCAGTTTCATCACATCAGCTCTGGGAAGCACAAAATTTCCTGCCCTATCACGCATAATGGTAGGGTCCCCAATCAAAAGTGCAGCAGAACTAGCCGACCTTTGGGGTGCTGAGTAGGTTCCAGATAATGCATTTCTGGTCTGCGATGCAATTAAATACCATTAATGTCCAGTTCAATTACATTGACAATTGGGAGGAGCTCTTATTCAACAATAACATTAACAGATTCATCCAAAAAAAAAATTCCAATGATAATGCAGAATATAAAACACATTATACAGAAGCATTAAAAATTTCAAAACTCGGAATGATCTAACTCAACCCCACAAGACAAGGCTTGTAAATTTGAGGTTTGTACCCAACTCGTATACTGTATTTTGGCACTAACTCTGGCCAATGTGAGCCTTGAGTTTTTCCCAATATACTCCCTCACACCCAACAACATTGAACTTGGTGTATGGATAATATGACATGTAACCCTTTTCATGGATTATCACCTTAGGAATATTGGGTTTTTATAAACTACACAATGACCTTGTAAGGTGATTGAGTATCGAGTCTAACTCTACCTCACTTAAAAAGTATATTTTGGCATTAACTCTAGCCAATGTGAGATATTGGTCTTTCTCAACGGAATGATGGAGTATAAAATACTATAAAATAAATACAGCCTCGCATCACATGTTTATAATCAGCGACAATTTTTCTCAGTACATTAGCATAAGTATTTAACTCTAGAGAAGTAAACCAAAATTTAACAATTTTGTTTCTGTAAAGGATGAAACCTTTGAGCTGCATACACAGGCATATAGGAGTTGTTGAGAAGGTAAGAAAAGAACGCCTACTGCTCCAAACAAAGCAAAGAGCACAACAGTAAAATAAACATGTTGACACAATAGGGTCCTGTAATCTTCTTATCAGTAACTCACCTTTGTGGCTGATCTAGCAATTGCTTGAATAACAGTTTCTTTACCGAGAAAATGTACAGCATCTTCCATCATCTGTACATTATACAAAGATTAGAACTTCAAGTAGAACGAAGTGAGCACATTGTAGTAAGCCATTTTCAACAGAGCTTTTAGTATATACAGTGAATTCGTTCAGTTAAATTTTGAAGTAACTTAAAATCTGGCGTTGATCACAATAAATTCACAAACCTTAAGAGTTAGGCAAGGACGGGATACAGCAAACCCAAATGAAACAACTAGTGTAATTGCTGATACAGCTGCACCAGCAAAGGGTGGATAAATCTTTAGACTTGCAACAACCCCCCAGCCTTCGGTTGCCAGGGCAATCCCATATAGCATGAGAAAGGCCACACTGTAAATAGCAGATAAGAGCAGTGGATACACAAAGTAATAAATCAGATAACACGTAAATTAAAAGAAAACATTAATTGACATATTTCAAAACAACAATAATCATATTTAGAGTGTCGTGATAAACCTGACATTCTTTCCACAATCTGCATGAGCATCATACACATACACTGGCAAAACTCGAGGAGAATATACAACAATGGGATTTGAAAGCAGAACCTGGGGAATAGGGAAAACAATACAGGGAATGTAACAACCGAGCAAAACAACGATGAACTGATGAAGCATTAAAGCACTAGTGATACAACAACAGACTGATATTATAAGATTGACAATTAGAGATGGTAACTCACAGTCAATGCCCGTCCAGCAAGAAGAAAAAGAAAAGAAAAATAACCAACCGATGCACCAACAAATGGTTTACCTGAAAAAAGGGCACAAAAAAGGAGAATGTTAGCAGATCATCTACTTTCTACGAAGTTAACATATTCCAATGCCAATATAATGGACTTTCTAATCTACCACCTTCAAACCATCCAACAAGAAATGCAGCCAAAGCCAACAGAAAAGCAAGGAAGCAAACAAAGACCATCTGTGTCCGGCTTAAATAAAAATTGTTTGATGCCCAGTGGTGAATGGCACCAATAGCTAACACCAGAAGGAGAAGAACCAAAAGAAATGCTACCCCTATCTGCAGCAATGGGGAAGGAAGAATTTTAGCCAAAGAAGTTAGACCCTGGGAAAGGTGAAGTTAAAGGGGCATTAAGCTCAACACAGAATTGAATTTCACTTACAGTCCAAGGCTTGACAACAACTATCAAAGCTGAAATAGCACCGAGCAGAAGCAAAAGACCAATTATAACAAAGATATATACACCACGAGAAAGCTTCCAATCATCATCCTTCCTGCAAATAGACAATTTAAAAAAGATCAGACATCTATCAAACAACAAAACAACAGCTGACTCAATTTACCATAAAGATAAACTGACAAATACAATAAAGTTTTGCCTACCACTTAAGTAATCCACAGCAAAGTGACAGCACCGCTGGAATGCAGACTAAAGGAAGTAATGCGGCTAAAAAATCACCATTTGTTGGAACTTGTTCATCCCTAGTTTTGATAACTTCTAAATAAGACACCCCACAAAATGCTACAAGGATAACTGAAGAGAGAAAAATATTATAGAAATCAGTCATGACAAAAACAATCATTATAGGTGGGAAGTGAGGGGTGATTTGTAAAGTCTGAGAAAATACCTGCAAAAAGTCCAATAAAGATAGCAGAGGAAGGGGAGAACCGATATGTTGCAAACCATGAAATTATTGGAAGCACGCTAGTAACAACTAAACCAATTGCAGATGCCATTGCCCAGCCAAGAAAAACAGATGATGTGTATGGGGAACCCAAGACTTTTGGATCACCATTCCATCCCTTGTACCTTAAATCATCTAAAGGCTTAGCAGAAACTATTGCTCCCAAAGCCAGTACGGATCCAACAAATACTGACATACAGATGATAAGAAAAATACCCTGTAATAAGAACAAGACAAGCTTATGCATTGACAAGTAATTTAAATTGAAAGAAAAAAAGAGCAACATATGCATAACACACCTCCACCCGTGCAACAAATTCATGAATTAAAATCTTCCATCTCTAAAATGCCATAAACTAAAATATGTGCTTTATAAATTAGCACCTAGCAAGTATATCTAGTCATTACCAGATGTATAATACCAATTATTAAAACATAGAAATCAATATATAATTACCAAAAGACAATACATCAACCTAAAAATGTTAATTGTTGTTTCCGACAAGTTGATAATGATAGATAGATAGATATATAAGAAAGGGACAAATGAACTCAAAGTAAGCTCCAATGTGTGAATTGTTTAAAATTAAATGAAACCAAATGGATTGCAATCCATTCCACTCCAACCAATTCCGTTTGTTTCTTCTCCAATTTTCGAAGAATGGAATGGAACCAGCAGTTCATTTGTTCAAAAAATATACACACAATGAAATGGTAACTTTATTCCATTTTGTACCATCTCAATCTAATTCCATTCCACTTGTCATTAGATAACCAAACAAAGGCAGCTTCTTTCAGTTTTTTATTTCCAGAGTTTTAATTTGATTCCTTTTTTCTGTTCTATACGATGTTTTTATAATTTAATGTCATCTTCTGGTCCCTTATAATATTACTTTTTTATAAACAAAAATAGAAATGTTGATAAAATCAAATTAGCATATTTGTGTTGACACTGCAGACGATGTCGAATAGTGTAAAATAGCATATTATAGTGCAACTATAGCAGGATAGAAGTGTGGTGCAGCACCTTCCCACTACAAGAGCTGATATAGCCCATAGCAGAGTGGTTTGGCATAGCAGACAGAACCGTGGCACTATGAGGTGATTCCAGTGATGTCTACTGGACAAAGAAGTTAGGGCCTTTGGAGGGAACTATTATTGGGATTTCAATTTCTATAAATGAAATTTAAGACTGTATTAACAGTGAAAATTATAAAGACGTCTTGAAATTTAGAAGATGATGATTAAGGGCCTGTTTAGACAAATTTCTCCACAAGGACATCTAGAAGAGAAAAATAGGAAGAAAGTTAGTAATCAGCTTCTCCATAAGCTAAAATTAGCTTATGCACGAACTAATTGATATAAGCTCTCATATAGTTTCTCTAAATTTTAATTTAAAACCTGAGTAAAAGTTAATTTTAACTTATGGAAAACTTGTTTCATTTTTTACTTTATCTTTTATACTCCTAGAAGTCCTTATGGAGAAGTTCGTCCAAACAGGCCGACGTAATGATTTCCATCCCGGAAGCTGGTATTTGACTTCTGTTGGTATTCATTAGTATGTTTAATTATTAGTTTGGTACAAGTGTTGTTGCAGTTTTTGCTTCAGTTATCTTATAGTTATTAGGTGATTATGTTTGTAACTGTTGTTCAGTTATTAGGCGGTTATGTTTGTAACGGTTGCTTATTTCAGTCTTTATATTCTGGGTCTGGTATAATTGATCTTACAGTGTCTTTTGATACAGTTTTTGTTTAGGATATTCAAATGTATACTACAAGTTCTTCTATTATTTTTGTGTGTTTTTGTTCTCTCCTCAAACTCTAATATTAATTAAGACACTTACTTTTTATTGTTTATTATAATGTGATTAATTTTGAGTAAATTTTATCATTTTCAGAATTATATGTATAAAGTATACATTATAAACTATAAATAAAAAAATTCAAACTAGCAACTATTCTATCCACTTTAGCATTTTGGGGCTTACTGCTACAAACTGCTATACAGGATTTAAAACTGTGGATATAATAAGAAAGTATACTAAAGAAAGACAAGAAGCAATATATTGATTGAGGATAAGTAACAAAGGAATATTAATGAGTATTGAGTAGTACAAATTATCTGATATTAGGTGTTTAAATTACAAAGTACCAGCATCTAATTATATTAGAACCTAAGTAATAATGAAAGCCCAAGTCCACCAATAAAAAAAGACTTCTAATAATTTAACCGATATTACATGTTCATCTGCGATATAGCATAGATATTTTGACACATTCTAAGAGTTCCCTCAAGCTGATGCTCACAAAGCATCTAAACTTTTTGTAATTATACATATGAAAAATAATGTCAACTCCATATAATGACAGCGAACAAAACAATTCAAAGATGCTGGAATTGAGGCAAAACGCAATACAAGATCGGATGGAAAATTGTGTTAAAAAAGATGAAAAGAATATTGGAAATAAGAAAGAAGTGCGGGTTGGAATGTTAACAGGCCAACAATAAAATAATATTACTAGAAATTCATGCTGCAGAAGAGCATCACTGTATATTATAATAGCATTTATTTAGCTCCACTAATTTCTATCTGAGAAAATATCTGCTTTGTATATCATCTTTCCTCTAGCAAGTATCATATATTGGTTTGCACATAAAAAAGGACAAGAGTTTATACCACAAAAAAGAAAAATAATTGCACTTCAGCAACTAAATATTAAATGTTCTATGTGGGTAATTTGTTCAACACATCATTTCCGATTTCACCCATCCAGAAGCATATTTTTAATTACAATCATATCCTAGCAAGTTGCAATGGCTTTTTACAATTATAGAGTTATTATTTCTTATAAAGCAATGTATGTAGAAACTACGTGTAGGAGATAAAGCTATAGACAGACACCCTTATAGTAAATAAGAAAAGCATCAGATCTAACCTCCTTTGTTCGAGGCATTCGGTCATTTCCAGCACTTCCGGTACAATTTACACGGGGAACCCAAAATTGGTACCCATTACAAATCCATATGGGAATGGCAACAGAAAGGCATGCCACCATTAGTGGCACAGTTAAGGATATACCAAGGAGAACAGATGATTTGCTGCATAAATTATTTGATGCATAATCAATAAAATGTAAACAAAAACATATGCAGGAAAACATATATGCTGATAGAAAAAAGGCATTCACATACAATACGCTAATTACATGGCGGCCTGATTTTAACATTTTTAATTTTTGTATCATAAATAAATGATATTGTTAATATCTCAATTGCAATCATCACAATGAGAATTTCTTATTGTAAACATTTTCAATAGAAACAAGGTCAATATTTAAAAGTATGAACAACTTACAGCAATAGTAGTGCTTGGTGTCCTACCTTAAAAAGGAGAGCAACAATCCAACACAAGTGCTGAGTAGCCAAGCAATAAAACCATACTGAAGACAGTGAATGAGAAAGAGAGAGAAAGAATATGTTACTAGTTATTCATTTAAACTTCAAACAAATACTTTATCATACATCATCTTGAAATAGTATGCATGCAGTAAAACAAAAGGTAAGACTTAACAGAATAAGCAACAACAGACATATAGCCAGCCCAAAATAATTAATGAACTTAAAAAGAAAACATAAGGGGTAAATGGCATCCCTAATTCTAGCTAATATTACAATGACTGAGTTAAAAGCACTCCCAAGGCAATCAGTACATCACATGGGTTATAGATACCCATGGTGATTTGAGTATAGAGTCATAGTGGTTAAGGGTCACATCCAAGAGATGGGATTAATTCTGAGAGAGGGGACAAATGATTCAAAGAGACTGAGACAATTGAGATTTAGGGATTTCAGGTTTTCAAACTGTTACAATTATTATTAGTTAGTAGTTAGTAGTTGGTAGTTGTTGTTTTAAATGTTGTAATCCTATATATATATATATATATATATATATATATATGAGATCATAGAGTGGAGTTAATGCATCCCACTAAATTAGAAATCTTCTTTTCACTCTCTTTACTCTCTTAACTTGGTATCAGAGCAGGTTGGTCTTGCTCTGCCTGTCCAGCCACCATCCGGCCACCGTTCGGCCGTTTCCGGTCACCGCCCGACCATTTTCTGGTCAATGTCCGGCCATTTTCCGGTCACTGTCCGGCCATTTTCCGTTCACTATCCCGCCATTTTCCGGTCACCGTTCGGCCATTTTCCGGCCACTTTCCGGTAACTTTTCGGCAACCGTCAGTCCCCCGTCCAGTCACCTTTTTTTGATGCCGTCCGACGACTTTCCGACTACCTTGGGTGTTCTCTTTCTTATAGGTTTCATTGTCTCCATCTTACATCCACATTATTTAAAATATGTCGTCAGGGCCCACAACCTCCTTTTCCGGAACTCCCACGATAACGGCTGAGAAATTAAGTGGAAAAAATTACATGTCTTGGTCCTCTTCAGTGGAACTTTGGTTCCTTGGACAAGGGTTTCACAATCATCTAGAAGAAGACGGAAGTAAGATACCAGAAGATCAGGCTCAACAATGGAAAAAGCTTGATTATCAACTTTGTGTTCTACTCTGGCAATAAGTAGAACCAAATATTTTGAACACTCTCAGATCCTTTAAAACATGTAACTCTTTCTGGAAAAAAGCTCAGAATATCTTCGCAAATGATATCCAACGCCTCTATAACTCCGCTAATCAATTAGCCTCTCTCAAGCAAGTGGATAAGGATATGATGATCTTTATTGTTGAAGCTCAACCAACAGTTGAAAAATTAAAGATGTTCCTAGAGGTGGATTTGTTAGAGGAGATAAAGCAAAAGTTGGATAAATTTTATATGGTTATGACTCTCCGGGCTATGAATTCAAAATTTGATCATGTTAGAGATCAAATTTTAACTTGACAAGAAGTTCCTTCTATGGAAAGTGTTAGAATTATTATTAGTTAGTGGTTAGTAGTTGGTGGTTGTTAGTAGTTAGTGGTTGTTGTTTTAAATGTTGTAATCCTATATATATATATATGAGATCATAGAGTGGAGTAATGTATCCCACAAAATTAGAAATCTTCTTTTCACTCTCTTTACTCTCTTAACTTGGTATCAGAGCAGGTTGGTCCTGCTCTGCCTGTCCGGCCACCGTCCGACCATTTCCGATCACCGGCCGACCATTTTCCAATCACCGTTCGGCCATTTTACGGTCACCATCCGGCCATTTTCCGATCACCGACCAGTCATTTTCCGATCACCGTCCAGTCACCTTTTTTTTTGCTGTCGTCCGACGACTTTCCGACCACCTTCCAGTAACTTTCCGGCTATCTTGGGTGTTCTCTTTCTTACAGGTTCCATTGTCTCCATTTTACATCTACATTATTTAAAACATGTCGTCAGGGCCCACAACCTCCTTTTCCGAAACTCCCACGATAACGGCTGAGAAATTAAATGAAAAAAATTACATGTCTTGGTCCTCTTCAGTGGAACTTTGGTTCCTTGGACAAGGGTTTCACGATCATCTAGAAGAAGACGGAGGTAAGATACCAGAAGATCAGGCTCAACAATGAAAAAAGCTTGATTATCAACTTTGTGCTCTACTATGGCAATCAGTATAACCAAATATTTTGAACACTCTCAGATCCTTCAAAACATGTAACTCTTTCTGGAAAAAAGCTCAGAATATCTTTGCAAATGATATCCAGCACCTCTATGATTCCGCTAATCGATTAGCCTCTCTCAAGCAAGTGGATAAAGATATGATGACCTTTATTGCTGAAGCTCAATCAGCAGTTGAAGAATTAAAGATGTTCCTAGAGGTGGATTCGTTAGAGGAGATAAAGCAAAAGTTGGATAAATTCTATATGGTTATGACTCTCGGGCTATGAAGTCGAGATTCGATCATGTTAGAGATCAAATTTTAACTGGACAAGAAGTTCCTTTTATGGAAAGTTTGACTACAAGACTGCTTCGTGTTCCAACTCTCAAAGGAAAAAGTAATCAAGAACTTGTTGAATCTTCTGCTATGATTTCTACCCGTGGAAGAGGAAGTCGCGGCACTAGAGGAGGACGTGGAGGTAGAGGACGTCCTCAGTGCACTCATTGCAAGAGAATGGGTCATACAGTGGAAAATTGCTACTCTTTGCATGGTTTTCCTGATAAAACTATCAATTTTTCCAAATCTGAAATGGTTGAACCCAAGTTCTCTCACGAAGAATATCAGGAATATTTGAGGTTGAAATCCAATAATCTAGCACAGTCATCAACAACCCCAAATTCATCAACAGCTTACATTTCACAATCTGTGGAAAGTCAAAATCCATGGATTATTGACTCAGGTGCTTCTGATCACATGTATGGTAATGCCTCTTTGCTCTCTTCTCTCTAATTTCCTAAAACTCCTCATCTTATAACCTTAGCCAACGGATCTAAAGTAGCCTCTAAAGGAACTGGTCAAGTCTCCATTTCTCCGTCTTTAAACTTATAATCTGTTCTTTTTGTTCCTTCATGTCCCTTCAGTCTCATTTCCCTAAGTCAATTAACCAAATTATTGAATTGTTCAGTAACCTTTAATGCCAACTCTTTTGTTATACAGGAACGTGGTACGGGTCGACAGATTGGCGAAAGACATGAATCTGGAGGCTTATACTACCTTGGGACTAAATCATTTGTATCTTGTGTTGCATCCTTGTCTCCAAAACTATTACACGAACGGTTAGGGCACCCTCACTTATCAAGATTAAAAAAAAAATGGTTCCTGAACTTCAAACTCTTCAAGATTTTGAATGTGAATTATGTCAAATAGGGAAACATACTAGGTCCTCTTTTCCTAAACGTTCTGAATCTAGATGTGATTCTGTCTTTTCTTTTGTTCATTCTGATATTTGGGATCCTAGTCGTGTCTCATCCTTTGGCTATAGATATTTTGTTACCTTCATTGATGAGTTTTCGAGGTGTACTTGGATTTATCTAATGAAAGACCGTTCTGAATTATTACCTATCTTTAAGTCTTTCCTTCACGAAATCAAAAATCAATTTGGAAAAATAATCAAAGTTTTACGAAGTGATAATGCCAAAGAATACTTTTCTACTGATTTCTCCACTCTCTTAAACTCCCAAGGCATTTTACACCAGTCTACTTGTCCTCACACAACACAACAAAATGGTATACCAGAACGAAAAAATAGACATTTGGTTGAAACTGCTCGTACCTTATTACTTGGTGGAAATATGCCCGTTCATCATTGGGGAGATGCTATTCTTACATCATGTTTTCTCATTAACAGAATGTCATCTTCTTCTCTTAACAATAAAGTTCCACACTCTATTCTATTGCCAAAAGACCCACTCTTTCATGTTTCTCTTCGTGTATTTGGTTGCGTATGTTTTGTTCATGATATGTCTCCAAGTTTAGATAAACTATCAGCTAGAGCCATCAAATGTGTCTTCTTGGGATATTCTCGTCTTCAAAAAGGATATCGATGTTATTCTCCTGAAACCAAGAGGTACTACATGTCTACTAATGTCACTTTTTTTTAGTCAACTCCCTTCTTCCCTTCTTCTATGCAGGATATTAGTTCGGTCCAAAATGTCCTACCTATACCCTTAGTGGAGCCATTTGTACCTCCTCCTCCTGACACCCAAAATTCCACACAAAATACACCGGAATCCTCATCACTGCCTCTTATTACCTATCAACACAGGAGCCAAATGATCAGTGTCATGTCCCAAGATGAGTCTTCCTCAGCAGATCCTTCTCAATCATCCCCTGATACCACGATTCCTGATAATGATGACTCAAGTTGGCCCATTGTCATTCGCAAAGGTACTCGCTCTACTCGTAATCCACATCCCATTTACAATTTTCTTAGCTACCATAGATTGTCTCCTTCCTATTTTTCTTTTGTTTTTTCTGTATCCACTATTACTATTCCAAAAAATGTGAAAGAGGCACTTGATCATCCTGGATGGCGACAAGCCATGATTGATGAAATGCAGGCTCTTGAGCACAATGGTACATGGAACTTAATTCCTTTTCCACATGGGAAGAAGATTGTTGGTTGTCGTTGGGTCTATGCCATTAAAGTTGAACCAAAAGGTGAACTTGATCGACTCAAAGCTAGATTAGTAGCAAAAGACTATACTCAGATCTATGGCCTTGACTACAGTGATACTTTTTCTCCTGTGGCCAAAATGACTACTGTTCGACTTTTCTTTGCTATGGCAACTATCCGTCATTGGCCTCTTCATCAGTTAGATATCAAGAATGCGTTCTTGCATGGTGATCTTGAGGAGAAAATTTATATGGAGCAACCTCTTGGTTTTGTTGCTTAGGGGGAATCTAGTTTGGTTTGTAAGTTACATCGTTCTCTCTATGGTCTCAAACAATCTCCACGTGCTTG